TTATCAGTGACACATTACACAGTCCAATCTGTACTACATTGTTTTATCAGTGATACATTACTCAGTGTAATTTGTACTACATTGTTTTATCAGTGATACATTACACAGTGTAATCTGTACTACAATGTCTTATCAGTGATACAATACACAGTGTAATATGTACTACATTGTTTTATCAGTGACACATTACACAGTCCAATATGTACTACATTGTTTTGTCAGTGATATATTACACAGTCTAATCTGTACTATATTGTTTTATCAGTGACACATTACACAGTGTAATCTGTACTACATTGTTTTATCAGTGATATATTACACAGCTTTATCTGTACTACATTGTTTTATCAGTGACACATTACACAGTCTTATCTGTTCTACATTGTTTTATCAGTGATACATTAGACAGTGTAATATGTACTACATTGTTTTATCAGTGATACATTACACAATGTAATCTGTACTACATTGTTTTATCAGTGATACATTACACAGTGTAATTTGTACTACATTGTTTTATCAGTGATACATTACACAGTGTAATCTGTACTGCATTGTTTTATCAGTGATACATTACACAGTGTAATCTGTACTACATTGTTTCATCAGTGACACATTACACAGAGTAATCTGTACTACATTGTTTCATCAGTGACACATTACACACTCTAATCTCTACTACATTATTTTATCAGTGATACATTACACAATCTAATCTGTACTACAATGTTTTATCAGTGATACATTACACAGTCTAATCTGTACTACATTTTTTATCAGTGATACATTACACAGTGTAATCTGTACTACATTGTTTTATCAGTGAAACATTACACAGTGTAATCTGTACTACATTGCTTTATCAGTGACACATTACACAGTGTAATCTGTAATACATTGTTTTATCAGTGAAACATTACACAGTGTAATCTGTACTACATTGTTTTATCAGTGACACATTACACAGTGTAATCTGTACTACATTGTTTTATCAGTGATACATTACACAGTGTAATCTGTACTACATTGTTTTATCAGTGAAACATTACACAGTGTAATCTGTACTACATTGCTTTATCAGTGACACATTACACAGTGTAATCTGTAATACATTGTTTTATCAGTGAAACATTACACAGTGTAATCTGTACTACATTGTTTTATCAGTGACACATTACACAGTGTAATCTGTACTACATTGTTTTATCAGTGACACATTACACAGTGTAATCTGTACTACATTGTTTTATCAGTGACACATTACAAAGTGTAATATGTACTACATTGTTTTATCAGTGACACATTACACACTCTAATCTGTACTACATTGTTTTATCAGTGATACATTACACAGTGTAATCTGTACTACATTGTTTTATCAGTGACACATTACACAGTGTAATATGTACTACATTGTTTTATCAGTGATACATTACACAGTCTAATCTGTACTCTTTGTTTTATCAGTGACACATTACACAGTCTTATCTGTACTACATTGTTTTATCAGTGATATATTACACAGTCTAATCTGTACTACATTGTTTTATCAGTGACACGTTACACAGTCTTATCTGTACTACATTGTTTTATCAGTGATACATTAGACAGTGTAATATGTACTACATTGTTTTATCAGTGATACATTACACAGTGTAATATGTACTACATTGTTTTATCAGTGACACATTACACAGTCTTATCTGTACTACATTTTTTCATCATTGACGTATTACACAGTCTAATCTGTACTATATTGTTTTATCAGTGACGTATTACACAGTCTAATCTGTACTACATTGTTTTATCAGTGATATATTACACAGTGTAATCTGTACTACATTGTTTTATCAGTGATACATTACACTGTGTTTATAGGAAGAGTTTAAAAAGTTAAGTGTTTAAAGGAAAGGAGATGCAATGTTATGCAATATATCTAAAGTTATATGGCAGCCATTTTTACTCATTTAGATGCAATTTTGCATCAATAGTAAATATGAACAAGACAAAACCATCAACAATTCTGAAAATATAAAATATAAGTAAAATATCCAAATATAAAAAATTGTGTAGGCTCTGTGGTGTCATATTTCTTTCCAATATTGAACTAGAATTGGACATTGGTTGTGTAGTAAAGAACGATATCTGGATTGCAACAGTGAGTATTGTGTGAAAAAATACCTAAAATCTAACGTTAATAAATACAAGCACGTACGTTTACGTAGATTTTGAGTCTTTGGAATGCTGGGGCGTTATTCAAGTTTTTTAAAAAAAAACATTATATTAAATGCTCTTGATATTTTAACACAAATAGATGATGTTTTAAATTTGGATTGTTATTAAACATATTATAGTACCTAGTGTCCAGGTGGCATCTTAATTTTATTGAAAATAAAAGATAATGATTAAAAAGATCTGTCCTCCTGGTTCAGTGTCCAGCGGCGTTTGGCAAGTAATCAAAAGGTTCCTGTAATCAAAAGGTTCCTGGATCAAATCAAACTGTTTCTATATGCGTAAGATACCTATATACAGTGTCTTAAATCACCAACCTGAGAATGGGTAAAGACTTACGCTAGGAGTTACCTTGAGATGGACTGGCTTTTTATCCAAAAAATATCAATGATTCTCATCCACTTACAATGTAGCACTACAGTAATCATGTATATGACCCTAAGAACCCCATGGCCTCCGAAAGATTCAAGTCAGCTTTAAAAATAATTAAGTACATGTAGTATACATTGAGGAACTTTGAATATAAATTCGTATAAATGAAATTAAGTATAAATATCCACTGTCCTATTGTACTGCAATACGTTTGTTCTGTACTACATGTATATGCATTTAACATCCTTCATATATTTTCATCATACAATGCCTTGATCCAACTACTCACCCGCACTTCTGTTGTATCCAGATACCGTCATTGCACAAGGGTTGTCCCAAAAGTCGTAGACAGGAAAAATGATCTATTTTCGCTTTGCTAAATTAAGTTTCTTTTCTTGTCATAGTAAAAAAACAGCATTTTATGATCATGAATTTCAAGTTTCATGTTGATAACACACTTAATAAGAAAATAATGTAAAAATGAAAAAAAGCATATAAGTGTACATCGGCGCACGAAATCAAGCGCATATAACGTCATGATCATTTTATAGTACTGTCCAAAATGCTTAACAGGCGTCTCTTAAACATCCTATTAATATCTAAAATGAAAGATAAACACTCTTGACTGATGAACGTACTAAAATTTACTACTGCCCATGGGTTTTTTTTTTTTTAATCAGAATAGAATTTCTGTCGAAATTTAGTAATATCACCCTACATTGTTGGAAGCAGAGGTTGACGTACATCATGGTCCATGACGTTCCTTACCGTCTGATTGTAACAAACAGTACTCTACTTAAACTGTTAAATGCGTTACTATTCTCGGTACGAAGGTGAATACTGTCTTTAACTCATACCATTTTAAAAAAAATCCCTACTAAAGTTCTAGTTTGTAATGTCACTTCTGTACTCTTTCTCCACCTCTGAAGTGAAAAAAAAAAAATATTTGAAACATTTTCTCTTTCACCTCCGTGCGCCGCCAATACGTTGGACGACTTCATTTGCATTAAACTCAATTTCAACAACGCTTTAAGAATTACGACCACCAATTCTCTGTCTCTGTTGGTATTTATATGAAAATTTGACATGTTATTAAGAGTTTGTTTCATGTTTCATTGATATAAACTTCAGATTGATGTTTAACATATTACCAAAAAAAAAAAACAAAACAAATGCAATTGGATTAGTTACATGCGTTAATTATTCCGGATTTTGTTCGTGCGCCGAGAGACCATATCGGACTTCCTATAAATCGTCAGTAAATTTTTAATATATTTAAAAATTCACTATTTAAAGGAACATTGAATAAAATATGTCTATGCAAATTTTGGTTGGTATTTGTTGAATGTTAACAAAGTTATAAACATTGTCTACGACTTTTGGGACAACCCTCGGATATTTATAGTTTTCATCTCCGATGTAAAATGTGGTATACACAGCATGGGCCTGTTTTCCGTTATGTCTCTGGAGATCAATTCGGAGTTTTTTTTATTTACCATGGCATAATTTTTTAACAAAAAAAAATCAAAATCAATTAAATTATTATGTATAAAGATGTAGTCTTTTATGGATAAGTTTTTATTGAAATCAGACTCAGTTAGGGGGAAGAGAAGGATTTTATAAAAATTATTAGCGTATAAGAATTGTTGTAATCACGGTGACATTAAATATCAGAATGAAAGAAGTGAACGAGTGAATAACATGTATTGGACCAAACAAGTTGTTTTGAAATGCCTATTTAAAAGAGATGTTCCCCTCTCCATGCAGGTAACATATGAATGCATTAAGCACTTATACTAATTGTCAGAGATGTATTATAATTTTGTTTAAGTATTTTTTAAATGTTTCATTTGACTTGTCAAATAATGCAACATGACATAATCAGGAAAGTTTACATTAATCAGAATCTGAAATTTTATAACTTTTCTTTTTACAGAATTTGGTCACTCATTTACAACTTCATGTTGTTGATGGATTCCCCACTTTTGGCCCTTTGTATGGTAGATGACTCTATCCGTACGAAAGAGCTAATGGCTGCATTAGCTGACAATGCCTAAAGAAAGGAGCAGGGGAAGCCATCGTTATGAAGACATATGTTGTAAGTATTTGGATAAATATTATGCTTTAATACATTAAGGTTAGAATTACATGAATTATAATGGTAAAATATAAGTTAAACAGAAGAAAACAAACCCAAACTATTCATGATCATTGACGAGGCTTTTCTATTCAGAGGTGAAAGATTTGTTTTGTTACTTGTTCAACATTTTTTGCAGAGTCATCGCCCTTTAAAAAATAATTTATAAATGATGAACATTAATTAGAAGTACATTGTACATTTATTAATTAGCACAAAAGTTAATTGGTTTTTAATCATATGTTACAATATGTTTTAGGTATACGACTGGTGTTTGAATATGGTGATAAGCAAGCGGTTCAAGCCACCTGATGGTGCTGAGCAATTGTTGGCCAAAGTTCACCATTCACCTGAATTCACCACCAACCAATTCAGCCAATCCCAAGGCAAGATTGTCACCCTCACCGAGGGAATGTCCACACACGAGAGAGTTTTACCGAACTGCAATGAATATCAACACTTTCTTCTTCAGGAAAACTGCGCACGAAAAATCCATGTACATTTCAGAAGGCAGAAAGATTTGTTCAAAGAAACATTCCAGCAAAAACTCTTCTTTTGTGAAGGTTTTCAGCGGAAATGACCAGTTCGGCGAAGTTTGAATATTCCTTGAACATAATGTGAACTGCATGTTGCAGACATGGTTAGTGATAGACGTGTTTCCTTTAGGGGAGAGAAGAGATGGAGTTTGTGTTTTCGAAAACAGAATTCTGTTCCAGATACCTGTTTATGTAGACGTACTATGTGGCCCTCTTGTGTATGTTAAGGAAAACGTTTTGTATGTGTTAAACGACAGATGACTAAAATGTGTAGTTACATGTCTGTATGTGTACATGAATTGAAGTGTCCAATTAATTTCCCAAAATATTTGTACGGTTGTGTAATACTTTATTCAGAAGTGATAATGTGAAGACAGGAAAGACATGGCATTTGTATATATCTCTACAGGTAGTACTGTCTGATAAATAATCTCAAATATCTGGGATGATAGCAAGTGTTTATTCTCTTTCATCATCAATCCTTCTTCCAAAAAAAATTGCACGAGACTGAATTTTTAATATGCATTAAATTGTTTTAGCTATCAAAAATAAATTATGTCAATGAATATGAATTGTCATTACAAGAGAAGAATTAAATGTAGACCTTTATAGCAAAAATTAAGAATGGTGTGATAAAGAAGTTGTTAATTTTAAAAGTTTGAAAATATATTGGCTCATTAAAAGTTCTGTTGCATTTGCATGGTCAGGAATATGATGTGCCTTTAGTGATGAAATCCATAATACAGGCATTATCAGCACTTGTTCAGGATTATATATATATATATATATATATATATATATATATATATATATATATATAATCACAATACTTGATGATCGACAATATATATTTAAATGCATTTTATCTGTTAAAGGTATGAGAAAATAGTTGTTTTTTTTTTTTTAAATAAAACAGTAAACAAGCTTTTTATAAGCAGCAGTTGTCTTATTTATGAACAATTATTGCAATGAAATAAAACTTTGAGTAGGGTGTGTGGATTTTGGTGAAGGAAATGATTTTATACTAGAGTTACTCTTGGTTGACAGGTGGCAGTAATCAAGACCAGTATATTGAAATTTAAAGGTAGTGATAGTATGATATACGCAGGTCACATTTTATTTTTATTCCAAGACAACAGTCCAATATTTTCCAGAATTTGAAGGGAAAAAAATAAAATTTAGAATTTTTTTTTTTTTTTTTTTTTTTTTTTTTTTTTTGTTTTTGTTTTTTTGTTTTTGTTTTTGTTTTTTTTTTTTTTTGCTTTGTTTTTTTTTTTTTTTGTTTTGTTTTGTTTTTTGTTTGTTTGATTGTTTGATTGTTTGTTTCTTTGTTTTTTTGTTTTTTTTGGGGGGGGGTCTTTTTGTTTTGTTTTGTTTTTTGTTTGTTTGATTGTTTGTTTGTTTGTTTGTTTGTTTTTTGGGGGTTTTTTTTTGGGGGGGTCTTTTTTTGTGTGTGTTTTTTTTTTTGTTGTTTTTTTTTGTTGTTTTTTTTTGGGGGGGGGGGGTGTTTGTTTTGGGTTTTTTTGTAACTCGCCATAAAAAGTTAACCTTATCTTTTTCATCTTTTGTTATATCCTATAATCATAAAAATGAAAACCTTACTTGTATTTAACACCTTTGGGGGGTCGTTATAAATTCTAATTTTAATGTGTGTCTTTATTTTATTTTTTTTTTATTTATCTATCTACCGACTCCATTTTTAGGTAAAAAGTCTTTAAAAACTAATTTAAAAAGAAAGAAAGGTGGCCCGAGTTAATTGTAGGGCATGTATGCCATATATAAAAAGGTTGCCAAGAAAGTTCTGCGCTTTTCTCAGATCCAGGTTAGTTCAGTCTTGAGATATATCAGTCCTATTAAATTTGGTTCTATTATCAATTATAAATAACATATAGAAGTATAAGTTAAAACGAAAATATAAAAGAAAAATACACAGTGAAAGAGAATGGAAAGAATTATGGGACTTTTCTACATGCACATGCACGTATTTGTTGCAATCTAATTAAAATTAGATGATCTAAATCTGAATTTGCTTAGCCGATTCAGAACATCTAATTTTAATTAGATTGTATATATTGAAGATTAAAATTCATTCTCCCATATACATCTTTATCAAAAGTTTCATGTAATGACGACACCCCCCCCCCTCCCCCTCCCCCGATCTCAAAATTATCAAAATTTGGTATGATTAGATTTAAATAATTATACATTTCAAAATATTTTTTGAATAAAACACATCACAGAAAATGTCGCTTATGAAAAATGAGATGAACTGATTAATTGGGAAAGGGGTGGGGTGGGGGATTATGAACTTAAAAAACCCGATAAATTTATTATATTATTTACATGCTAAAATGTAAGAAATCTGAGGAAACTTCAATATCTAAATCTAATGTAATCAATGAATGAAGGAGTATAATTAAGAAGAAATGCACCTTTTTCAGCACATACAGTCAATTGAAATAAAAATACATTACAAATGTGTCAAAACAGCACAATATATACAGGTTTAATTTATACTTTCAGCGCTGTCCACTCGATTAAGAAATTTTAAATACTTGGGATTTAATTTAAAAAGGTTGTCTCTGTCCAACCCCCCCCCCCCTATAGGCTCCTTTTAATTTTTTAAATAAATAAATGAATCAATCAATAAAAAATAAATCAAATAAATGATTAGATTAATGAATGGATGAATAAATGGATAAACCCTTCTCACGTCTTCTAAACCTAGAGAAATAATCTGAGTAATTATCAGCAATACTCAGTACCAACAGTATATCTCAGCAAATATCAGTTATTATCAGAACCTACAGTTAAAACGACAGTAAATATCAGTAATTATTAGAACCAACAGCAATTATCAGTAACAACAGTAAAAATATCAGCAAATATCAGTTATTATCAGAACCCACAGTTAAAAAGACAGTAAATATCAGTAATTATTAGAGCCAACAGCAATTATCAATAAGAATAGTAAAAATATCAGCAAATATCAGAAAATATCAGCACCAACAGTATAAGTAAATATCAGAATTTATCCGTAAAAAGTGACACTATCTGTAATTTTTTAGGCCAGTAGTTAGGGGACATATCAGAAAGCCTGTGGCAGCGATGTTATGGAGACGTAGCGTAACGTTCTACTGAGCTGTTTGGAGCTTGATGAGCATGGGAGTTGTTCTTAGGAAATAAACAGCAATATTAAAAAAAATCACTGGGAAATGAACTTCGTCGGTCACGTGATCAAATCCTGTGAAGCCCCTTCTTATATTTACATTTGAGACGAAAATATTACGCAAATGGCCCACCGTTTCACTATATTGTGACAGGCCGTGACGTAGAAGTTGTTTGGCCTTGAAAGTTCGCCTAGCTTCAACATTTGAATATTTACATGGATGATTGATTGTTTGTATATTGTTTTACGTCCTATTCGAGAATTGTTCACTCATATAGAGACGTCACCATATACCGCTGAAGGGCTTCAAATTTAGACCTTTACTCGGCACTCAGGGCCATTGCGCAGTGAGGGTTCTTTATCGTGCCAACTTCTACCGTGACACGAGGGCCTCGGTTTTTAAGGTCTCATCCGAAGGACCCGCAACTTTCACTTCAAAGTGCTGAGTGCTTGGCGAAGGAACAGTTGCTACCAATTTTTTATCGACTTAAGTCAGTCAAGGCCGTGATTCGAACACACGACCTTTCGATCATGGAGCAATCGCTCTGCCGACTGAGCTACAGTGACGGCATTTGCATGCTAGTTTAGGAAATCTCTGTTTATAATGATTGAACGATGTTTGGTACTCAGAATAGTTCTACCATTTAATGAGTCCAATTGCCGTTATTATGACCTTATTAGCAAATATAACCTACCACTGGGACGTATTTTGCTGACTTGTTTCATACTTAATGTACGGCCTTTGTTTTTGTAATAAATTTGACCAGGGAATCTTCCGTCAGTGTATAGGGTTAGGGGCAGGTGTGACCGATCAGAAAAGACGCTCACTCCTCCTAAGCACCTGATGCCACCTCTAGAATTTCCGGTGTCCTTTTTTATGCCCTGTAAACACAGTTGTATTGTTTGTAGTTTTATGAGATCGATCGCTGTCCGTTATGTTCACATGTTCTATTCTTCATATATGTGAAGCGGTGGTATCATCTGTTTCAGTTTACCTTCCTTCAAAGAAAATTCGAGTTAAAACGTAAGTGCGATTTTAGGCTTATATTATTATTCAAAGCATTCTTCACACCGAAGGAAGATTGAATTGACATCAGGTGATTGAAAAAAATCTTTATGTTTCAATTATTTTATCTTTTTCATCGCTTTCAAGTTAGAAGTTCCGAAAGCAGTTTCAGTGTGACAGGGTTATCTCAGTCACTTTGTGACTATGACCTCTGACCCCTAATAAGTTCATACAGAATTGAACATAATTTCGCTTCAGTAGGTTCATCTAAGAAACATTGTAAATACAGACTTGGAATGAACCGTATTCTTTCATGCATATAAATAACTTTTCTTACCAAGTTACAAGGAAACCATGTTTTTCTTCATATATACGATTCTTACATGATGTGGGTTGGGATTAGTCCATTTTCATTTTTGTTTACTTGATTATTTTCATTTAAAACTTCAGAAAATATTGTTGGAAAAAAGAGACGGCATCCAACCCCTTTAGTTCTGTTATATATAACAACCATTTCTTAGAGTTTAAAAGTTATATGTATAATTTACATTACGCACTGTGAAGAGTACGATTTCCTCAAACAAATCGAGGAAAGCAATGAATTTAAGATAGACCATATAGCAAATTCAGCTCTTGTCCCTCATCAATTACAAATACTACATATCAATACACTACTGTCATTACAGTTGTATAATCAATTTGTTTATCTCAAAGTAAGAACTGTTAATATACCAAAGGAATGATAGGAATAGAATACAGTTATTATAATCAATTTGTTAACCTCTAAGGAAGATCAGTAAATATACCACAGTATTAATAGGAATATACTGCAGTTAGTATAATCAATTCGCTAACCTCAAAGTAAGATC